TTTTTATTTTTTTAGGGCTAAATAAGAACTTTTTGAAAATTTTTGTAAATATACTTTTTATAGAAAAATTGTATACCTACAAAAAAGTCTAAATAAACTTTTTCGCAAAAGCTAAAGTTTTTGAGATAGACAAAAAAAACTAAAAAATCACCCTTAGGGGGTTACTTTTAACCCCCTTGGGGCACGTCTTAGAGTTGACCAATAGTCTCCAAATTTTGTACAATTTATTTTTTCATGTATTCGAATAATTCTAGGGAGTGGCACTTTGTAATTTTTAAATTTTATAAATAAGGGACACCCTAATATAATATTGATGACAAGCACGCGTGTACTGGTACGATAACTAAAAATAAATTTTTATAGGAATAGTGTGCCGTCGTGTGTTGAGCGAGGCGTGGGGAGGGGTGAATGCGTATAACAGTCTAGTCTAGACGACGGAATATGCGATAACGCGAGGCGTTTGGAGAGTTACATACATACATACATACATACATACATACATACATACATACAGGTGAAACTAATATAAGCGTGTTAAAAATAGCATTCTTCAGTAGGACTGGATCCGAGAAGATTGATGGAATTGGGCCTATAAGCAGAACTGATCAACAAGAACTAGTAACAAGAATTAATAACTGGTCATTGAATAAAACATATTACTGTCACCCCTATTTCTTGTGAGCCGTATAATAAATATTTAATATATTTATTATTGTTGTATTTTGTGTAGGACACAATTAATTTATGTAATTTCTGAGTAAAAGGCAGAGGTCAACTGCTATAAGAAAAGAACTCTTGTGTCAACAATTGTATTATAACATCTAATTTGTATTAGAGATGTGTCGTTCGCGAACGAACGGATCGCATTGAACGGGTCAAAATAGTGAACGAAATGATTCAGATCGCCGAACCGTAGTGATCCGGATCCCCCAAAAACTTATTTTATCCCGTATAAATCACACTGAACCGATTTGATCGCTTTTCAAATATCAATGATAACATTATAACATATTCATATGTCATTTGTTTATACGACACATCCCTAATCCGAATCGCCAATCATACATGCGATTCGCGAATCGAGAACCGCAAAAGAATCAAAACTATACTGAATGTTCCATTCAATTGACTCAAAATATCTTTTAGATCGCGAACGGGTCTTTGAACCGGATCTTCTAGTTGACCTGATTCGAATGAATCGGATCACTTAGGTGAACCATAATTCCCATCTCTAATTTGTATACTAATAAATAATATAAGTATTAATTCAATTATAATACTTTTGTATTAAAACATTGTTTATAAATGAGTATAACTTCAGGTTTGATAAAGAGTTATTTCTTTTTAAAGAAGTCAATATATTAACACTTTTTGGTAATTGAACACTATTTTTATGATTGTAGTAAATTTGTCACGTATATTATTGTACATTTTTAGGTGTAGATAAAATAGTTGATGCTACGGAGACTTTCCAACCAGAATCAACAATTACAATAAATGTTTAAATCCATCACTTTAAACAAGTGAAATAGGCAAGTCACATAAAAAATATTATAAAAACGCTTATCTGTAAAATTTTTCCTTGTCAATTAGCACTCTAACTGTTGTTTTTATTTTCTGGGGGGATGAGGTTGTGCAGTATCATCAGAACTGGATGCTGTTATAGATGATAAAGTAAACTGAAGGGATTTTGAAGAATAATGAAAAAATTCTGAACAATTATTTAAAAAATAGAAAGTACCTTATTTATTAGTTAAGAAACTAAATAAAATAATTACTGATCCATAATTACTTTTGGACCGGTATTTACAAGATATTTACAATATTTAGTATTAATTGAAGGTGAGTAGTGGGTGATGCTATTTTTATCATTGAAAATTTCTTAGCCTCACTATATCTCTTGTCAATAAATAAAAATGTTAATAATTTCTGAGATATTGATTCAAAATTTAAAACTTGACCCAACCTCACTTAAATATATTTTTATGTAATAAAAAACTCGGCGACAATATTCTAGAAAAATTATTCACGAAATGAAAAAATTTCTCTAGCACTTCATGCGCGTTTAAAAAATTTGGGAAAAACGCTCATTGCAGACACAGTTTTTTTATTTAAAAATGTTTACCAGGCTTTTACAAAGGTACTCTAAAATTTTTGTTGAAATCGATTGATTTTTGAATGAGTTATTATTTTTTTTTTCTACCCCTTTAGTTTATGGTCATACACTATTTTGAGTTTGTGCGCATCATAATTTTAATTTTACTATGACGTGTTTTATTTTTTTTTCATGTCTGTTGCCAATTTTTCTCAGCTCTCACTTGACCAATTTCTTTCAACAATACGTCAAAAGATCACAAATCGTATTTAGTTGAAAACATTACCCTTAAAAATTGAAAAAATTTCCCTCGTTCCCCGCAAATGGGGAAAATATCCAAAAAAATTACTAATTTAAAAATCGGTAAATTTTGTCATTTTTTTCACTTTTTTTTCTTAAAACTTCCATAACTTTTTCAAAAATAAACAAATCAACATAATTTTTTTTATACTAAAACCTTAGATATTTCCTTTTCATTTGATATCCTTTTTTTGAAAATCTAACACTTATTCTGCTCACAAGGAGGATTTAAAATAGCAACTTTTTTATAAAAACTAACTTTATCAACTTAATTTTTGAAAATGTTCTGGAAATTCTGAGACCTTTAAACATATATCAAATTAAAGCTTATTTTATGTACTATAAAATAAAATAAAAAAATTTGTCCCGACACTTTATCTTCTGCATGTAAACGACTGCCGTAGTTAAAAAAACGCTAATTTTGTGTTAAAATTTTGATTTTAAATTTTCAAATTAAAAGTGCTCTAACTTTTCGAAAAATGTAATTATCAGCATTATTTGACATACTTTTTATTAAAATTGGACAATTTCCTCATATATAGGGGGCGTTCAAAACTTGAAACATTGTATAAAAAATAGAACCTTTTCAACTTAACTTTTGAAAGTGTTCCGGAAATACTGCGTCCTTTAAACATATATAAAATTAAAGCTTGTTTTATGTACTATAAAATGAAAAAAAAAATTTGTCCCGACGACCTATCTTCTATGCGTAAATGGCCACCGTATTCAAAAATATGCTATTTTTCTATTAAAATTCTAGGTTTTGTATTTTATTTTAAAATATCTTATTAAGAGAATATATTGACTTTCATGAATATTATATAATTTAATTGACATAGAATAAAGGTCATAAGACATAAGCAAAAATAAAGCAAAATACAACTTCTTTATTATTTTTATCATTTCTCCGTTTAAATTACAATATTAAATTATTGAATATCAATTTCATAATTATAATTAGTATTTATTCATATATTATATTTAAAAATCAAAGAACTACTAATTAGGATATAATCAAATAAATAAAAGTTGATGTTGCTTTTGGAATAATCCCCCAATTTCTCTAAATGAAACACTATCTACAGATTTGCATCGAAGCGTTTCTTATGATAGTGATTTTAAGCCATGTCAAATATCTATACTTGTCCCATCTATGCCTGACCCCACTGTGAAACCGTTTTTAGCTTCGATGCGAAGCTGAGAAGGTATTGGTTTTATTAAGATGTGTTTTTGTTTTTTTTTTGTGTCTGTTACCACTTTTTCTCAGCTCTCACCGAACCGATTTCTTTCAATGATTCTTCAAAAGATCACAAATCGTATCTAGTCGAAGACATTACCCTTAAAAATTGAAAAAAATTCCCTCGTTCCCCGTAAATAGGGGAAATCTTCAAAAAAATTACAAATATAAAAATCGCTTATTTTCTAAATTTTTTCAATTTTTTTTACTTAAAACTACCATAACTTTTTCAAAAATGAACAAATCAATATAATTTTTATTTCTTAGATGCATGATATCATTACCTTTCATTTAGTATATTTTTTTTTTATATGTGACCCTTTACTTGCCCACAGGGGGGGATTTAAAATGACAACTTTTTCACAAAAAAATAATTTTTTCAACTTGATTTTTGACAATGTTCCGGAAGGTCTGACACTTTTATTATATCTTAAATTAAAGCTAATGTAATGTACTTTGTTATGAAAAAAAAAAATTTCGGACTTTATTTTATCTTCACGGTGAAAATGGCTACCAAATGCTATTATTGTGTGAAAATTCTGGATTTTATTTTTTACATTTTTAACTTTATGCTATGACATATTGAAAAGTGTATGGATCAACATTATTTTTTTATGAGAAATAATATTTTTTAATAATCCCTTTTTCATTCTACATACTTTATCTTAATTAGGATATTTATATTGAACTAGCAGATCATGGAGCTTTTGAAATAATACATCAATTTTTTAAAATTAAACACTATCTAAAGATTTGCATTGAAGCGTTTTTTTTTGATAGTGAATTTAATCACTGTCAGATATCATTATACTTGATCCATCTATGTCATTTCACCACTGTGCTGCGACCCCCCTGTGCTGAGTTTTTTCTATTTAATAATGTCAATTTCAAACTTGCAAGTTTTGTTTATTTAAAATACAGTATTTCCAAATTGTATTTTAAGAATTGTAAATTTTTTTTTGCATAAATTTTGTACTAAATAATTATTAGCTAGTTATTACTAAGTATATTTTTGAATTTATATTTTATTTATAAATTTAACGGGCTTAGCCCTTTTTACAATAATAGGTTATTTAAGATATTATGTTATAGGATATGTTTATCTAATCATCTGTACTTTTTCAGGTACTAATATATAGTATATTTTGTCATAACATTTAAAGTACAATTAGTTCATTGAAGTTTGAAATAAATATGAAATTCTATGTTATAATAACACATTATAGACTGTAACTTAATAAGAGAATTTTATTAATATTGCTGATACCAAAGATTAAAATTGAATTATTATTATATTACTACGATAATATCAGAACTAAATGTCAACCATATAATTATTAAATTTTATTATTGACCCTTTGTAAATTTTGATCATGTTAATAATTAAATGTGGACTATATTTTTATTATACAAATGTAAAGTAATACTTCTTGTGTAAAAAAGTTATTATGCCTGGGTACTCCTACCTAAATCTGTGATCTACTTGTAAGGTCACAGCTAGACAAAGATTAGTAGAATAATAAAATAAAAAATTTTATATATACAATTTTACATAATTTAAGATATTATTTCTGTAAAAATATGTCAAGTGGATGAAAAGTAATTAGCAGTTGCCACTTAAAACTTATCAGATGTTTTCTTCCAACATATAAAATTTTTTAATATCATTGTATTAAATCTTTCTACTTCATAATTCATCATGACCGAATGAGGAATCTTGATAAAGCCAATAACGATAAATTTGTATGGGATCAATTTGTAAATGTTTATGGAAAGATATAATTGGATAAGCTTCTAAGTACTCATCAGCATAATCTTGTGGTCTAGCCTATAAACATAATTTTTTAATTTACAATATAATAATTTATATACCTATGAACAGTAAAAATAGTACATTATGCTAACTAACTTGATGAAATACTGGGGAATGTACAATTGAAATATTTAACGACTGCAAACATATTCCCAATACCATGTCATCTGGTGCATCAGGTGCATAACATTTGCAATCTTTTAATTTATGAACTACATCTATGTTAAGAACAATACCACCACCTCCTGTAATATAATTGTACCCTAATGGAAGATTTCTTCGAACATTGTAACCATATCTTTGACCTAGAGCTATTTCTTGGCCATTCCAGCAGTTTAATATTGAAGTGAGTCTTGGAACACTGAATTAATTTAAAATAGAGTCACTTATTTATACAGTTAAATGTTAAATTTAATACATTTTCTTCGCTAATATAAAATCACCTAATAAGAGTATCATCATCAGTCAAAACAAGCCATTTCACTCGATGATCTAAAGATAATTTCTTTGATAAATGCTTAATAATAGATATGGTTTTTAAACAATGTCCCTGCTCAGTATTTGGAATATTTGGCAAAACTGTAGTTGGTATTGATAGTTCTATAAAATAAATTTGTTTTTACTTTTGTAACATGTCATAATAAAAATAATTACTGCTAAGGTATAACATTTTAATAAATTTACATTTTAATATAAGATCTATAAACTCATAAACTAAATTATAGTTTTTTTTTTCAATACTCATAACTTAATTAGATTTCTGAAATAATGAAAATTAACATATACTAAAATATATTTTTTGATTAAAATTGATAACTATACAATTACATTATAAAATGTTAATACTGCCTCAACTTCACATCAAAATTAATACAAAAAAAAAAGAAATTAATTTTGAAATTTTTATGCTCATTAAAGTTATCTAAGAAAATGACTGGTCATTTAAATAACAAATTTTTAACCAGTATTTCAGAAGTTATTATCACTTAAAAATAGTGAATAGAGGTGAAGCTTTGGTCTGTTTATTTTATCACTAAGCAATTCTGTTCTCCTCCCTTTACAATATAAAAATACTTAGGGCTTTTAAAATAAAGTTTCAAAAGCTGTTATTAACTAGTTATTTTCTGAATTGTTAAAAAAGTTAAACATGAATGTTTTAATATAAAAAACTAAAGTTGATACAATTTTAAGAGGGGAAAAGGAGAGATAGAATTATATTTTTTGTGGTAAGTATGTAGAACACTAATAACTTCTCAAAAGAAAAAATTATATTTTTTATCTTATAATTTTGAAGATATTGTGAAAGACATATATAGTGGATTAACATTTTAAATCATTTTTTGGAAATTTCCTCAAATTCTAGACACTACATAATTTAGTCCTTAAAGTTAAAACTTTTGAATATGATGTATTCATTCAGATATAGGTTTATATTTATAGTAAAAACTGAAATTTTACATTGAACAATTTAAATAGCAAAGAAATAATATAAAAGTTACCAGTTGTATCACTAAAAAACTCAATATGAACAGCATCTCTACCCCATGTAGATTTAAGAACTGGAATTCTGTCATCATGATATTTTTTACAAGTTTTTACAGCAAAATATATAGAATCTTTAGTGACTTTATGATCCTAAAATAGAACAATAAAAAGAATTATCTAGTACTAACTAAAATAATGGATTTAAACAATTTAGACTTACACATTTATGTCTTTCTGTTTGTGGATGAACTACACAATCAGATGATGGTTTTAAGCAAAATTTTAATGGTAGATGTTCTAGTTTTTGATCAATCTGCTGAGCAAGTTCATAAGATGCGTCAATGGCAAAATGTGATCCAACTGTATTTAATTTTTTATCTAAAATACTTTTTTGAAATAAAATTTAAAAATATTTTTGTTAGAAAAAAAAATTTTTTTTGTTTAAAATACACTAACTATTATTGAAACTTATTTTTTACATTAGAATGTTTTAAAAGCATCTTTTTTATTTATGGTCTAATCTATATTAATTTATGTCAATGATTCAGGCACAGATAGAGAGAAACATTATTTTTAGAAAGGCATTTCACTATTTTTTTTTTAGAAAACCGTTTTATATACAAATTAATGCTAACTCTAAGGGGGAACATATTTGTCCTATAGTTCTTGCTTGTTTGCACACCTATAAAGATTTATATCATTGGTACTTCTTAATTTGTAATTTTCTATTGATAATACTCTATAGTTTTATGCAATATTATGTCTTTATTTGTACTCTTCAGTTTTTTATAAAAATATTACAACTAACAACCTCATTTAATGTAAAATAGTTTCCATTAACTTATTTTTACGTTTAACAGATTGTAATAATACATAAATTAGTTTTGATTTCAATAAATAAGCATTATAAATAGTAAAAATTGTCAAACAGCTCTTATCAAAAATTGTAATAAATTTGATTTTAATGAATATATAAATAAAATAGTTAACCTTAAAAGAAGTTCAACGGACATGATAAATCCAGAAGCAAACAATGGATATGCCAATCTCCTGTTAATATCATTCTCAAACTCATAATGGTGTATAATAGTAGGATTTTTGTCCTTCAATCCATAACCCATCCAAATATACTTCAAATTTAAATAAGTAAATTATAATTTTTAATAAATATAAAATTAATCTACATTTAAAATAAAAATTTTTACTTCATTGTATTTATAATTTTGTAGAAGTTTTAACAAATTTTCATAATTCACAAATGAATTTTCTTCGCAAAACAAAAACCAAGAAACATTTCTATTTTCTTTCAATAATCTATAGTTAAAAGCAAAAAAACTATGAATTAAAATAATCCATTTTTATAATAAATTGTTATTATTACAGTTCAACAATAGGTATTATGGTCCAACTCCCTATTTCAGGATATTGTTCATGAAGTAATTGTACTTTCCTGAGTCTAGAATTCTAAACAAAACATGCTAATACACAATACTGTGATATCTAGAGATATTTTCTATTTTCATTCACAATATATAAAACTAAATATCCATAAAGCTATTTTAACTTTTTAATAATACTTTTTAGAAAAGATAAAATATTTTTCATTTAATTAATAATTTAAAAAATATATTATTTTAAACTATATTTTTATTTTATTAAATATATAGTATTTCTAATATCAATATAAATAATCACTCAAAATTACACTATGTACTAACCCCATAAAGTTTTGATTGATTTAAAATAGATTTTTTCAATTTATTGGCTTTACTCAAACTGTAGTCATTATTTTGGCTTAAAATAGTAATTACTATGTCTGAAGATTCTAAAAAATTTATTTTATATTAAGTTAATAAGTACTAATACATATTATAACAGTTATATTTACCGGCATCGATAAACAATAATATAAAATAAAGAGTCGATGCTAATAAATATCCATAATATTTAAAGCTTAAAAACATACTATTAAGTTAACTAATATTTATTAGTTGAATAGTAATAATAAAATCATTTATGTAACAATAATTTCTATGTTGAAATTTCTTTGAATGCTCGGTCATTAAGCGAATTTAAAATTAATACTTATTTATTTTATGGTAAATTTTAATCTTATCTTTCTTAATGTAACTGTAGAGCAGATGAAGTATTATCTATTCTGTGTTATTACTATGATAATATTATATATGATATAAAATAAATATTATCACTAACAGTAATGTCTTCACGTTATCAAAAGAAAATTTAAACAGCTGGATGAGTTATTTTGATTTTATGAAAATTTCCTACAAATTAATCAACATTTTAGTTTTCAAACATTTTAATTCATTATTTTATAATGCTTACTTCTTTCTCAAAATGTACCTTGCTAAAAGCAAGTCAACATACCTTACGTCCTATGTCTACTGTAAATTTTGATATTCAACATAAACAACCCATTGCTAGACGACAAATTGGATTACCTCGAGCCAGGTATGCTTAATTCTGATTTTTTATATTAATTTTCAAAATATTAATCTAAATAAATAATAATACTTATCCATATTAACGATTTTTAATTAAACTAAAATGATTAAAAAATTCCAATTTTAATTTATTCTTCATTATTATAGTATTCAAAATTAACAATTACAAAATTACATTTATTAAACTACATTTTATTTTAACACTTACCGTATTAATTTATTTACTTTTGAATATATATGAATGTATTGTGTTTTCAATCACACAAATACAATGCATTCCTTATAATAAAAAAATTAACTTATATTAAATTTCATTTAAATTGACATTACTAATTAGTTTTTTTTAGTTTTTTTTTTTTTAAATGTTTATAAAATTAATTCAGGATTAGATTTAGAGTAGTGCATCTACTAAAAGAGGGCTCTACGCATAACACTATGACTTTTTTTTAATTGCTCATTCTATAAAAAATGGTTATAATATTTATCATCCAAATTTGTATAAGCTACATTTTGTCCAATAATTAGACAAAATGTCAGAATTATTGTGATATTGGTTTGTGTTCCCCACTTGTCTAAATCCAGCCTTAAATTATGTTGAAAGAAATACTTTGAATCAGTGGTGTATCCAAGAAGTCACTAAATTTTATTTAATATTAAATCCTTCCATTAAAAAATCTCTGATTTGTCATTTGATCCATTAAAAATATAATGCACTGGTACAATTTATTATCTATGAAAACTCTTCTAGTATTCATAAGTTTGGTATAAATAATAGGTATGGAGGAAGAAATGCAGTGACTATGTTACCAGGAGGAGGCATTGGACCAGAGTTGATGAGTTATGTGAAAGAAGTTTTCAATCATGGTGGTGTGCCAGTTGATTTTGAAACAGTTCAGATAGATCCATCGAGCAATAGTAATGATGATTTACAATATGCTATAACATCTATTCGAAGGAATGGAGTAGCTATCAAAGGAAATATTGAAACTAGAAGCCTAGACACTGATATTATATCTCGTAATGTAGCTATACGTAATGAACTTGATTTATTTGTGAATGTCATAAATGTTCAATCTTATGAAAATGTACCCAGTAGACATAAAAATGTTAATATTATTATTATACGTCAAAACACTGAAGGTGAATATGCTATGTTAGAACATGAAAGTGTTTATGGCGTAGTTGAGTCAATGAAGGTGATTACTAAAGAAAATTCTCAACGTTTAGCTCGTTATGCTTTTGAATTGGCAAAGAACAATGGCCGTAAAAAAGTCACATCAATACATAAGGCTAACATTATGAAGTTATCTGATGGTTTATTTTTAGAAACATGCAAAGAAATGGCAGAAGAATATCCAGAAATACAATTTGACAATATGATAATTGATAACTGCTGTATGCAACTTGTGTCTAATCCACATCAATTTGATGTTATGGTTATGCCGAATCTTTATGGGTCAATTGTATCTAATGTAATTTGTGGTCTTGTTGGTGGAGCTGGTTTAATATCTGGCCGAAACTATGGAGATCACTATGCTGTTTTTGAGCCTGGAACTAGAAATACAGGTTCCTCAATCGCAGGTGCCAACATTGCTAATCCTGTTGCCATGTTAAGTGCATCTGCTGATATGTTAGAACATTTAGGACATAAAATGCATTGTGAAATGATTAGAACTGCCATTACTAAAACACTCACTGAAGATTTAGTTCACACTGCTGATTTAAATGGCACTGCATCTACAACAGATGTAGTACATAATATTATTAAGCATGTTAAAATCTTAGCAGGTAAACGTGTGTGAAAAATACACATCTACTATTAATAATAAGTACTTTTAAAAAAATGTTAACTGATAGATTTAAATTTCTTAAATTGGTTTTCTAACAAACTCTCTATTATTGTAAATTATTTCAAAAAGTATGAAAATTAATAAAATATCATTTATTATTTAATTTTATATTTTGTGAAGTAATAGATACCTACAATGAAAAAAATCAATAACTAGTTCATTTTATGATTTTTGTAAACATGTAGTTATATAAAGACGAGAAAAGCTTTGTAAAAATATGAATTCATGCTTATATTTAATTGTGTTTTATTATTAAATAACATTTATTAGTGTGAATATTGCAGAATAATTTAAATTTAATTGAAGAAAAAAATTACCAAATTTTAATTGAAATAATTTTTATTAATTCATTCATTATCTATTAATTTTAATTATATTAAAGAAGACTCCAACTAGCAGGGGTTTCACCACAGATTTGGAAGACGGTGGTTATGGGAGCTTAGTAATTTCTATAGGAATTACATAGATATTAATAACACTTTGTTTAAATGAACATAAAATATTATAATTGAAAAATGATTTTTTATTAGCATAAGTACAATTTTAATATATCATTATAAGTGGCCACAGACAAAAAAAAAACACATCTTAGTAAAATTAATATCTTGTCAACTTAGCATCGAAGCTAAAAAAATAATGGTGTAAAAAATTAACAACGATTTAACTAAATGTTTTTGATATATTTTCGTCCCAAAATAAACTAAAATCATATTCTTCATGGAATGACATCAGTTTCTCTTTTGACAGAACAAATCAACAACAAAATTACATGTCCAACCTACGCTTAGTACTTTTCAGACACAGGTCAAAAGGGGAATCCGACCTTATTATAAATATGTCAAAAGCAATTCTACAATTCTAAATTCAAAAAACTAATAAAAACTAAGCCGCTACCCTTCAACTCCTACTACCAACATATTAGAGGCTTAAACACTAAACTCAATCTGTTAATATCAACTTACCTTTTAGCTTCGATGCGAAGCTGAGAAGGTATTAACTTTACTATGATGTTTTTGTTTTTTTTTTTTGTGTCTGTTACCACTTTTTCTCAGCTCTCACCAAACCGATTTCTTTCAACGATATGTCAAAAGATCACAAATTGTATCTAGTCGAAAACATTACCCTCAAAAATTGAAAAAATTTCCCTCGTTCCCCGTAAATATACTTTATTATGGAAAAAACATTTCGAACTTTATTTTGTCTTCACGGTGAAAATTGCTACCAAATGCTATTTTTGTGTGAAAATTCTCGATTTTATATTTTACATTTTTAACTTTATAACGCTATAACTTATTGAAAAGTGTATGGATCAATACAATTTTTTTATGAGAAATAATATTTTTTAATAATCCCTTTTTTATTTGACATACTTTATCTTAATCAGGATATTAATAAGGAAATAGCAAATCATGTAGCTTTTGGAATAATCGATAATAAATTTCGAAATTTTTTCAATTTTTTTTACTTAAAACTGCCATAACATTTTCGAAAATGAACAAATCAAAATAATTTTTTTTTTATAGATGATTGATGTATTTACCTATCATTTGGTATATTTTTTTTATAAATTCAACCCTTTACCAGCCCACAGGGGGTATTCAAAATGACAACTTTTTCACAAAAAATAGATATATATATCTTAAATTAAAGCTTATTTAATATACTTAAATATATTAAAAAAAAAAAAATTCGGTCTTTATTTTGTTTTCATGGTGATGTTCACCATTCACAAAATTGACCTCTGGATTTGTTTTCAAACATATGTTCAAAAAGNTTTTCATGGTGATGTTCACCATTCACAAAATTGACCTCTGGATTTGTTTTCAAACATATGTTCAAAAAGTTCAAAAATATGTTATTATTGTGTTAAAATTCTTGGTTTTGTATTTTATTTTATTATAAGGGTATTACACTGATTTTCATAAATATTATATCAATCTAATTGACATAGTATAAAAAATTAAACATATTTAAATTATTTTGTTTCTTTGAAGTCGAATAAAATTATTTTAAAATTTGAACTAGCTAAATTTCGATTTTTATTAAGTGAAGAATGAGACGTACGGTTTCTGAGACGGTAACACTTGGGTCTTTCACTCCTGTAGCACTGAATTTTTTCTTAATTCTTTTTGAGTTAGAAAAAAATGTTTAATTCATTTGATTTTTATCTCATTTAGATTCAATAACTTCAATAAATATCAAGGATCCCATTACTGTAGTCTCCTCTCGTGAGAAGAAATTCATATTAATATTATTTTACTATGTGGTTTTTTTTTGTAGCTATCATTTATTTTCTAAGGTCTCACTTGACCTACTTTTTTGACAATTTTTTTTGTTTTAAATTAAACACTATCTACAGATTTGCATCGAATCGTTTTTTATGATAATGATTTTAATCACTCTCAAATATTATCTATACTGGACCCAACTATGCCACGACCCCACTGTGCTGGGTTTTTTTTAATTTTTATGTTTTAGTTTTCACGGAAACTTGGTTAAAAAATTAATAAATTCTTCTGAACTCGACTTTTCAAATTTTTATAATATTATTGATAACTTAATTTCTTCCAGTCCTTATGATGACTTTCTACTTTTCGGTGATTTTTATCTTCCCAACTTAAAAAAATGCTTCTTTCAATGCACACATAAACCCAACCGGAATCTGTTTTTTTTGAAAATCTAGCTTTTCTTAATCTTTTCTAAATTAATACAATTCCTAATCAGAATGGTTGTATGCTTTACCTAACACTATTTAACTATTCTACTCATTTAATATTTTTAAACAATGATTCTATGGTTCCTACTAATTGTTACCCCACCGCCACTCTTTCGTATTCTGAAATTTCTATTACTAGTCAAAAGACAATTATAATGCAATCTTAACATTCCTTGGATCAATTAATTGAATTGGGGGAGGGGGTGTCCAAAATTCGTATCATAATTATAGTTAAGTAAAATTAAAACTATATTAAAAATATTATTAATTTAAAAAACTAAAAAATATTAAACTCAAAGCCACAATAAAATTAATGAAAAGTCGCGGATACGTATTTCGGAAACAATGTTACCATTATCAACGCTAAACACATACTGATATATAATTATAGTCTTTACTATATTTAGATTTTATCATTTGGTTAAAAGTATGACTAAAACAAAAATAATTATTTTTTGATAAATTTAATTAAATAATCAAAATATGCGCCTTTGCACTCAATAACTGATAGTCGACTTTTAATTCTGTTAATATTAAGTATTGACAAAATATAAAAATAAAATAAAACATGGATGGGCAAATATACTAAATGTTAAACTAATAATATATTTCTTTCTTTTTGAAGTGCAAATTTGTTAAGAACTTCTTTTGGATCCACTGAAATGTTTCTGTAGACACTTAATAATGCAAGTCCAGTTAATCTCTCTTGCCTAGTAGAATTTCGTAAAAATGTCTTTTGGGAATTAATAAATACAAAGAGGATAAAATTGTTTTGTGTTTTGAAAATCTTTCTTCAAGTTGACTAACAAAATCATCATAAAAAGGAATGGCTATAGATAAACGAAAATAGTCCTCAGGAATTTCGGTATCAATATAAATTCTATTTTTTGACGACTTACAATTCTAGGGATTTTAATTTTTTCTGATTTACTAAATTTTTTTTTAAGATGTACATTAATGTTTTTTCGCGTATCTTTTACTTCATTTAAGACTGTTTCAACATGTTCTAATGCTTCATTCAAATCACATTTTATCGACTGCAATGTTTAACACAATGGCAAAGTAATAGAAAGGAAGTTGTCGCAGTTGTCAAACTAATAATAAATTCACTTGTTGTTATGCACTTATACAACTGTAATGCTTTAGACGAAGTTTCAATGTCTGTAAATAATTGTAGCTCTTCTAATGTTATAACAATAGGTTTAAATATTTCTGAAAATCTTAGCATACCGTCGTGGTTTTCAACCCATCTAGTCTCACACATGGAAGTTAATTTTGTCCATTTAGTCAGAGGGAGAAATTCTTTTATTTTATTTTTCAATAATTCAGTTCGCGTTGCCGATATTTTAATAAAATTTCCCACAGCCTTTATTGTTCCTATACAATTACGGATATGGCGTGTGTTTGATGAATGAGCAAGTGCCAAATTTAGAGAATGTATGCTGCAGTGAACATAAAGTGCAGCAGGATGTGTTTTTATTATTATAGACTGTACGCCTTTGAAATTTCCACTCATGGCCACCGCGCCATCATAACCTTGACCAAGTAAATAGTCACAGTTTATACCGAGATTTTTTAAATTATCTAAAATTACAGTGGCCAAATTTTGACCAGTGGTAGAGTGTACTGGAACAAATTGTAAAAAATCTTCTTTCACGACATAATTAATTGTTTGATCTTTTTCAACATTTAAATTACTCTCCAAGTAACGTATACACAAAGAAAGCTGTTCAATACGTGATATGTCAGTTGTTTCGTCGACTAATACGGAAAAACATTTTGCTTGGTTGATTTTGTAAGCTAACTGATCTTGTATAATTTTTCCACATATGTTGACAAAATTATTTTGAATTATAGGACTTATATAGGTAGCATTTAACTTTTGATTGTCAATGTGATGCGTTAGATTTTTATCTCTACACGAAATACGCATTCTTAATAATGCTCGGAAATTTCCATCATTATAATGAGGTTCAGAATTATTTAAAGAAAGAGGACCATAGTCGTCAGTACCACGTAATGATATTTCTCCTTGACGACCGCAAAGAATAATTGTTTGAATAATAGGAATTAATCTTTTTCTATTTTGATCAATTTGAATAGAACGAGCCGAATCTAATTTTTGAAGGATATTTGGACTCTTTTTGGAATAAATATCAATAAAATTATTTGGACGCATAGCATTACATTTGTGAAATTCAGTTTGACAGTGTTCATTAAAATTCTCAATAGCATTATTCCAGTTATTAAATGGTTTTACAACTAATTTATTAGTTTTTGATGACCACCTTTGTCACCAAATTTGTGACCAAATATCGCACAATATTTACAAACTGCACCTTGTTCACCAATTTTTGAATAAACAACCCAAGGAAAACGTTTAATCCATCCTATTTGAAACTTTTAATTTTTTTCCAAATTTTTAGAAATTGGAAATTTATAATTTTCATCTGGTGTCCAAGGAGCAGTTAATAATTTAAATTTTATTTCATCAAGTATATTATTTTTACCAAAACAATAGCTAATATCATTCTCTTCAATAATTTGCTCCGGGTCCGATTTTAATATTTCTTTTTCGTTTGATTGCAAATCTGAGAATGAATGGCTACATGATGGCGTGTCTATTCTTGATGAAAAATTAGGGACATCTTTCGTCTAAAATAAAGATCAAAACAAATTAGCATTACGTTTCTATAATTAAAAACTGAAAAATATGTTGGCTCATTAAACAATTTAACGTACTTTCGAAAGTTTTGAAAAATAATTTGATAGTAAATTTACGTTCTGCCGTTTAATCATTTTTAATTTACAAAAAACTGAATTAATAAAAATGAACATATATAAACAATCGTCATGTAACACTGAAGTACAGTACTCGTAAAACCACCAAACTTTTTATAAGATATCATAAAACTAAAAACAGCTTGTTAATTATTATTATTTAACATTTAGTCATCAGTCATTACTGAAGTATAGAAACGACATACGATTGAGAAATTTATATACTCAAATCGTGTAGAATCTACACTGTAGATAAATATTGTTGTATGCTAATCACTATCGTCGTTGTTCGACCGGTCGGATGGCATCAATAACAATTTATTAATAGATTTATACTGAGAAACTTCCATTTCAAGTTTTAAAATATCTGTCACGTAATTTTTTCTTTTATTAAATTTACCATGTTATACATATAATAATATATGGTATAATTAAATGGTCTATACAATTTAGCAAATGCAATTTTAAAATAATCATTATTATCAAAAATAGATAACCTTGCAAACTTAGAAAATGTTGAAAAAAATTCGTTGGGGGGGGGGTCCAGACCCCGTGGACCCCCCTCAGATACGGTCTTGAACATATCTATTCTAATCGATGAATTTAACTCTGTTCTACATTTTACTAAAAAATCTTATATATCTGTAAGAATTACTATCAAATCTAACCCGAGTAACAATTATTCAGTTTTTAATAACACATAGTCTTTTGGTTTATTTTTTAACTATTGAAGTCCTGATAAGTTCAGACGTTTATTTTTAAACGTTTATTGATAGTTTATAGTTCTAAAAAATAATTGAGTCGGACAAGGTTAAATACTTCAGAAGATCACAAATAGTATCTAGTCGTCGACATTACACTCAAAAATTTCCCAAAAATTGCCATAACTTTTTAAAAAATAGATAAACAGAAACAATTCTTTTTTTTTTTTGTTATAGATACATTAAGTATTTATTTGTTTGGTATATTTTTTTTGAAAATCTGACCATTCACCTGCCCACAGGGGGGGATTCAAAATATAACTTTTTTACAAAAATTTAACTCTTCAACTTAATTTTGGAAAGTGTTCTGGAAATATTGAGACTTTTATATATATCTTAAATTAAAGCATATCAAATATTCTTTACTATAAACAAATAATATTTCAAACTATAGATTGTCATGGTGAAAATAGCTACTATATTCAAAAATATGCTATTTTTATGTTATAATTCTCGGTTTTGTTTTTTTATTTTATTTTAAAATACCTTACAAAGGTTTTAAAATTAAAAAAATTATATAACTCATTTGTTTTTTATCTCATTTAAATTTAATAACTACAATGTATATCCAGGACCCCATCACTGTATCCTTTCCTCGCAAGAAGAAATATCTTATTCATATTAAAACTATCTTTACGGTATAAATTCAAAAAAATATTGAGCTTTTCTGATAAATTTACTGTTAATAGTAATTTAGTGGCACCGGAACCGGGAGGCAAAGTACTAAATAGAATATGATAAAAAAAAATTATAATGAATCTAGAAATTAATATAACACTATCTTACTTAATTATTTAGCTATTCAGATTTTGAGGATTAAAAAGTGTTAATGAATTTATCTAACTCCAATTGAATTTTAAAAAACAGTATCATAGTGGAGTCGTGGCTCAGTATGGACGTGGCATAATTGGAACTAGAATAGATGATATTTGACAGTCATTATCATAAGAAACGCTTCGATGCAAATCTATAGATAGTGTTAATTTAAAAAAAATTAATGGATTATTTTAAAAGCAATATTCACTCCTATTTTTTGTTTTAGTTCAACTGCCATTTGCACATAGAAAATAGGTCGTCGGTACACCTTTTTTTTAGCTTCGATGCGAAGCTGAGAAGGTATTGGTTTTACTATAAAATTTTTTTTTTTTTTGTGTCTGTTACCACTTTTTCTCAACTCTCACCGAACGGATTTCTTTCAACGATACGTCAAAAGATCACAAATCGTATCTAGTCGAAGACATTACCCTTAAAAATTGAAAAAATTTCCCTCGTTCCCCGTAAATGGGGTAACCTCCAAAAAAATTACAAATTTAAAAATCGCTAATTTTCGAAATTTTTTCAATTTTTTTTACTAAAAACTGCCGTAACATTTTCAAAAATGAACATATGAATATAATTTTTTTTTTATAGATGCTTGATGTCTTTACCTATCATTTGATATATTTTTTTTGTAAATTTGACCCTTTATCTGACTATAGGGGGGGATTTAAAAAGAACTTTTTCACAAAAAATTAACTTTTTCAACTTAACTTTTGAAAATGTTCCGGAAGGTCTGACACTTTTATATATATCTTAAATTAAAGCTAATGTAATATACTTTAATTTGAAAAAAAAAAATTTGACCTCTGGACTTGTCTTCACGGCGAAAATGGCTACCGAATGCTATTTTCGTGTGAAAATTCTCGATTTTATATTTTATATTATATTTAACTTTATAATGCTTTATAACTTATTGAAAAGTGTATGGATCCACACAATTTTTTTATGAGAAATAATATTTTTTAATAAACCCTTTTTCATTCGACATACTTTATCTTAATCGAGATATTAATAAGGAACCAGCAGATCATGTAGCTTTTGGAATAAAACACCAATTTTTTTAAAATTAAACACTATCTAAAGATTTGCATCGAAGCGTTTATTTTTGATAGTGATTTTAATCACTGTCAGATATCATTNTTTATTTTTGATAGTGTTTTTAATCACTGTCAGATATCATTATACTTGATCCAACTATGCCATGTCATCACTGTGCCGCGACCCTCCTGTGCTGAATTTTTTTTCCTTAACCTTCATAAGCCGGGCTCTATTAAAGACGTTAAAGACCAGCCGGGGTAAAAATTTACTTCGGCAGATTTTTTATTATGTTTCAAAGTTGGACATGCTTAGTTTCACATATTGAATAAAAGTAATGTAATTTAAACAACTAAAACGCCGGTCTTATGAAGATAAATGGCTTGAATTTATAATAGGTCTTGAGGGAAATCTAGTATAGTGTAAAATTGCAAGTTCTTTGACAGTTTTGATGTTTAAATCTTTGTGTAGGTTATTATTTGTTACATATCACAGCGCACCAGTTAACACTCGTAATGTTATATTTTGAAAGGATTGTATTGGTCGAATGTTGGATGGTTTGGCTGGTCCCCATATCTGAATACCATAAGACCAGACTCGTCTGATTATTAACTGATAAATAAGTCATTTTGTTTCGAGAGGTAATTTAGATTTTAGTAATGGACGAAAGAAATGAAGTCTGTTGTTGGCTTTTTTCCTTTTGTCTTTCAGGTGAGGTCCCCACGTCAGTCGTTTGTCCAAAATTATTCCTAGGTACTTAATTTTATTATGGGTATTAATTACTGTATTGTTTAACTTTATATCTGGGCATTTAGGTAGTACAAATACCTTGTCTTACTGTAAACTTTCTTTCATAAAGGTAAAACTTTATTATTAAATATAGATGAGCTGGGAAAATTGTTTTCAGTTTGTAAAGCAGCTCGTCATGCCACACCCTATCAAAGGCTCTAACTCTTTTTTTCTCACAGATAAAAACTCTTATATAAACTGGGAGTTTTTCTTCATTTTTACAATTGTTCTTATTTGATGAGGATGAATTATTTGTTGAGTTTTTGATTAGTGAAACAATATTTTGAGCCGCATTTTCATCGTCGTCATGGGTTTTCAGTGGAATTTTCAGATTAATTTTATCTAACTCAATTTTAAGTTTGTCCTAGTTAATGGGTCCTTTTGTAAGGAATAGTCTTGTATTAAATGAGTACTCACCACCGATAATTAGAATAATGGGTGAAAATATCACAAATATTTTTTATGCCTAAACTTAGCAGACTTGGGATATTTGTTACAAAGAAATCTAGAATATCTGGATTTTGGTTTACGTGAGATGGCCAGTAAGTTGGTACTGTTGGCGAAAAGAATGAATAGTGATTATGATTGATCACTGTATCCAGAAATTTTCCTCTTTAGTTGTTACCAACATAGCCTCATTTTGAATGTTTGGAGGTAATGTCCCGTCCCACTATAAATGAGTGACCTAGAGAATTGAAAAAATGTTGTAAGTCATGTTGACGTATATTATATCTAGGAGGGCAATAGACCGCAGATAGGGTGATTGGTATGTTATTGATTTTAATAGATACACTTGAAGCTTGTATAGATGGTTTTTGATATGGACTTATTTTGTCATGTTGTATATTTTTGGAAATGTAAATGGTAGCACCGTTATGAGCTATACCATCAGAGTGATTGGTTTTAAATAGTGTGTAGTTTTAAATATTAAAGTAATTTTTGTCAGTAAAGTGAGTTTCATTTATTAGTGCTATGTCTATTTTATTACGGATATGTACAGATTTATTTTTGTATTGTTGGAGACCATTCGCATTCCAAAAGAGTATTTTGATGATAGGATTTTTGGAGGTAATCGTACTAGACATTTTTTAAAATAATTTTAATAAGTACAGTGGTTAATAAGAATATTAAAGGATTAATTAAGGATTTTAAGTCAGTTTAAAAAGATGAGAGTTGTTTAGTGAGTTCGTTGTTATTAGTATTAGTTGTGTCTATCTTTGGCAAATTGTTTATATACTTGTACTGTTGAGTAACTTAAACGTATAATTTATATTTGTTTGGTTCATATTAGTTAATGCTTTCGAAACGGGTGTTATCAATGGGCACCTGTACATTGTTTGAATTATTATAATTAAAATGGTGACTGCTTTTATAAAATTTAGAATTGGGTGATTTACGCTGTTGCTCGTTTTTATATACAGGGCAACCTCTGTAATTCGCTGGATGGCTCCTACACACAGTACACATTTG